CAGGAATACGACTTTGAGATCGAACATCGCAGCGGGAAATCTCACGGCAACGCAGATGCATTGTCAAGAAGACCTTGTCCCGAAGATTGCAGACATTGTACTAGGCAAGAGAGTAAGGAAGTAGTATCCGTGAGGATGCTCAGGGCAGACCACCTCGGCAACGAGTGGAAGGACAGCTGACAACGTGAACAGCAGGAAGATCCGGACATCAAGCCGATTCTGGAATGGATGGAGGCCAGTGCTCCCAAGCCCAAGTGGAGCGACGTCTCAGCGATGAGTTCGACCACTAAAAGCTATTGGGCCCAGTGGGACAGCTTGCTGCTTCAGGATGGAGTTCTGTGCCGTAAATGGGAAAATGTTCGGGGAGACAGCTGTCATTTGCAAATGGTTGTCCCTAAAGCTAAAGTACCGGATGTTCTACAGTTGTACCATAATGATTGTTCAGGAGGCCATCTGGGAGTTAAACGAACTCCACTAAAGATCCGAGAACGGTTTTACTGGGTCCAATGTCGAAACGACGTCGAGGACTGGTGTCGCAAATGTACAAGTTGTGCGGCTGTAAAGGGACCTCAGACTCGTAGTAGAGGTGCGTTGAAGTTGTACACTGTTGGTGCACCATGGGAGAGAATAGCCATTGACGTGGCGGGGCCGTTTCTGGAGAGTGAAAGCGGTAACAAGTATTTCATGGTTGTGATGGATTACTTCACTAAGTGGCCAGAAGTCTTCGCCACTCCAAATCAAGAAGCTTCAACAGTTGCAGATAAACTAGTTCACGGAGTCTTCTGTCGTTTTGGAGTATCTTTAGAGATTCACAGCGATCAAGGAAGAAATTTTGAGTCTCAAATATTCCAGGAAACTTGCCGAGTTATGGGTACTCATAAAACAAGAACGACTTCTTATCACCCGCAATCTGATGGAATGGTAGAACGATTTAATCAGACACTGGAGAGGTAGCTAGCAAAAGTTGTAGACAATCGGCAACGAGATTGGGACAAGCACATACAACCGTTTTTGTTGTCATATCGAAGCGCTGTTCACAAAAGTACAGCAGTGACACCAGCTTTCGCAAACTTTGGAAGAGAATTACGGCTGCCTGCAGACCTGATCACTGGGATATCACCTGATGCCCCACGCAGTATAACCGATTATGCAAATGACTTGCGGAATGAAATGAATGACATTTATGAGCACGACAGACAATCGGGCCAGCAAATGACTGAGAAGATGAAAACCCGGTATGACCGCAAAATGAACAACAAAAGGTTCGACGAAGGTTCACTAGTGTGGTTGCACAATCCAGTCCGCAGCAAAGGGAAATCTCCTAAGCTTCAAGCTAAATGCGACGGCCCGTACAGGATTGTAAACAGGATCAACGATGTAACCTACTGGATACAGAAAGGCGCAAGAGGGACTCCTAAGATCGTCCATGTGGATCGCTTGGCGCGTTATTATGGGGCCGATAATGCTCGGGACGAGCATATCTTAGGAGGGGGCAGTGTTTAAGTTGACGTCATGTAGTGTCAGGGACGAGAGCGGGGGGAGCTTTCCAGAAAATGACATCACTAATCTTTCAACGGACCGCGCCATCTGGTGTCGAAATGAAGAACTAAGATTCTAGAAGCCGACACTCGAAATTTCGACGCCTTGCGCGTATTTACTTGAATGTTCTGGATGTTTCGGTGCTAATGTGTATTTATAGGCACTGCAAGGTGCGATCGGGGATGTGTTGAATTTGGCGAGACAAGCGAAGCTTCGGAGCGAAATAAAATGAATCAGTGTGATCAATTATTAGTGTTTTAAGTTTAATTAGTGTAAAGTGAATTAAAGAGTTAATTTTGGGAATTCTATCGGCAATTTTTATTGTCACGAACCCTAAGCTCGTAACAATACTAACAAATAAATAAATAATACATAAATAAATAAAAGCCCAACCAGATGGAGGCCCTCGCCATGGGAGACCAAACGGCCGGAAGTTAGGGAGAATGGCAAAGAAACCGGCGGATGATGTGGGCGGTATTGAGGAGCACCGCCTTTTGCATTTGAGCCCGGAGCGGTCCGTCATGGAGTCCCAGTCGCCTCAGATGACCCCAGAGGCTCTCTGGGATTAGCCCATTCGCAGAGACGACTACAGGAATAATTTCGGCCGGCAGACCACCCCACATGTCAGTCACCTTGTGAGCCAGGTCCAGATATTTTGTTCGCTTATCTGTTTCGGCTTTTACGAGGTTCTCGTCATACGGAATGGTAATGTCGACCAAAAATATCCTTGACTGTGCCCGGTCCATCAGAACAATATCAGGCTTATTCGCAAGAATAGTCCTGTCTGTGATGATGGCCCGGTCCCAGTAGAGCCTGGCGCGGTCATTTTCGAGCACGGCTTCCGGCAAGTACTTGTAATACGGCAATTTCCGGTCCATGAGACCGTATTTCAGAGCGAGCTCCTGATGTAGAATTCTGGCTACTAGGTTGTGTCTGTGCAAGTACTCAGAGTTAGAAAGCGCCGAACAACCGGAGATGACATGCCTAAGCGACTCACCGGGATGGCGACGAGCTCGACAGATGTCGATGGTGCCATCCTTTAGGATGTATCTCCGATAGTTGTTGGTCTTAATAACCTGATCCTGTATTGCACAGACAAAACCCTCGGTTTCCCCGAATAGGTCACCGAAACGTAGCCAGTTGAGGGAGGCGACTGTATCTACGAAGGGCTCATGTAGAGCCCTGTAGTACCTCCCGTGGAGCTCCTTCTCCTTCCATACGGCCTCCCGGTCGGAAATGCTAAGCACTGCTGGGTCTTGCCATTGCTCGTTGGCTAAGGATAGAGGGGTAAGCCCATTATCACTAGCAATGACGTCATTATGGAATGGATCATCCGATCTCGCCAGGAAGTAATGACGGAGGCTGCACACTTCACGATTATGCATGGTGAGCGCGCTCAGAAAGCCACGCCCACCATGCTTTCGCGCCAAGTACAGCCTCATTACCGACGATCTCGGATGATGCTTCCTATGGGACGTCATGGTAGTGCGAACTTTTCTATCCAGGGCGTTAAGTTCAGTCTGAGTCCACCTGAGTATGCCAAAGGTATACATAAGGACATGCATGACTCAACCGTTATATGCGTGTGTCTTATTCACACCGGACAAAAGGCTATTAAGCACTTTGGTCAAGCGTGCATAAAACACGTCGCAAACTGACTGTTTCATACCAGCCTCATCGATACCGATGTTCTGTGACATACCCAGGTATCGGTATGTTTCAGCCTCGGAATGGGTCCTTAAGTTGACGGGCATAGATAAATCTATGTCCTCAGAGTTAGCAACCCTTCCCCTTTCAACATGGAGGACCGCACACTTATCCGTCCCCAGCTCCATTCCAATGGAATTGCTAAATTCACAAGTGATTTCTAGCAATTCCATAAAATGGGAGCGACTAGAGGCGAATAACTTGAGGTCATCCATATAGAAAAGGTGGGTTACTTTTGTCCCTCCATTCCGTAGCTGAAATCCCCTACCAGATCCCTCCAGTAAGGTACTGAGAGGGTTCAGAGAGAGGCAGAACCAGATTGGACTCAGACAATCGCCCTGGAAGATACCCCTTCTTATCCTTATGTGGTTCTCCGCAGCCATCATCCGCTCACCCAGATGACAAAGGAACGTACTCCACTGCCCCATACACTGCTCGAGGAAGTCTCTCACTGTACAGTCTATCTTGTACAGCTCGAGGACTCTCTTTAGCCATGTATGGGGCACCGAGTCGAATGCCTTTCTGTAGTCTATCCAGGCGGCGGAGAAGTTCCGACGGTTGCGTTTCACCACTTTGCCAATGACCGCGTCAATGAGGAGTGGTTCCTTAGTTCCACAACCACCGCCCCGACATCCATTTTGAGCGCGTGACATCACCTGATTTAGCTCCAGGTGACGAGTGATTCTCGCTCCCAAAATGGATGTCAGTGTCTTATATATGGTGGGTAGACACGTAATGGGGCGGTATTTGCTCGGGTCTGTGGTAACCTGGTCTTTAGGAACCAAATGAGTGATCCCAGTAGTGAAGAGGCTAGAGAGCGACTTCTGGTTGAGAGCCTCTTGAAACTGACGGGCGAGCACAGCGTGACACACCACGAACCCCTTCAGCCAGTAGTGATGCAGCCCGTCGAATCCCGGATTTTTCCTCCGACCGCCTCAGCTACGTCATCCGGCGTTATGATGACGGGGTCCATGGGCGTAATACATACTGACTCGCTACAACTTCCGTCCAAGGGCCCTCCCTGTGGTTTACGGGCTTTGACAACAGGCCACGCCAAAATGCGACAGTGTTAGCCTGATCCGACCCTGGGCCCGCTCCACATACCTCTGGTCGCTCCAATGATTTGTAGAGCCTCTTCTGATCACCTGGAAAAGACGATTCTGGTTGAACCGCCTTGACCTCTAGGTAAATCGGCGAATCCGCTTCCCCCAAGCAGCGAGCTTTTGCTTCAGGTCGTCTATGCGCTCCGTTAGTTTCTGCGTGATATCCGGCTGGGACAAACTGATATTTGTCCCAGCAAACGCCATTTTAACGGTGCGCACAACCCTCGGTCTATTATTACCCGACCTAAAGCTTGTCAGTCTGCCGATAAGGGCCCTTGCCTTTGCGATACGGTCCTCAATTCTTTTTCTCCAAGCTGGAATGGCGCTACTTTGTTTAGAAGCGCGTCCAGCCATGGGAAGTTTGGCGCCAATAATACGGCAAGCTGCTACTGCGGCGCCAAAAAGAACTGAGTCCGTCTCGCAAAGGTCCCGGCTGGCTTCCGAATAGGTTACCGGCATTGGGTTAAGAGCCCTCACGACAGCCCGATTTCGCTTGCTTTAGGGGTATGCGGGGAAGTCGCGGTCGATTTTCGAGAGGCATGCTGCGCGTTTCCAAAATCGTCTCTTCCAATATACTCCTCATTTGCTCTACTTCGTGGGAGACCATTTCATCATCGTCCGAATCAACAACTGGAAGATCCATGGCGGCTTCTACGCGTGGCAGCTGGTCTGTCGCCAGAGGAGCCGCATCCCCAGCCGTAGCCAATTCATTCGATGAGGGAATGCCTCACGTCGTAGTCGTTCGAGCTCGGCATCATCAAATATTTTCGAGCGCATGATGTACCGAACTCGTTCTGCCAGGTTTTGTTCCGTGACGGGATTAGACGGCTCCAGCTCATCAAAAAAGCAATGCATCCGAGCCAGATACGCTATCCCTGCAGTTTCTTCCCCTTTCGCCCTATAGTGCGCCCGCAATGCGTTTGCGTTCATATCCCTTGTCCAAGGCATGCGGCGCACACCACCAGCGGCGGGTGCCGCTTGCTGAGTCCGAGAGGACCCTGCCGACATCAAGCCGTCTGGTGGGGATGATGGATGCGGGAGGCTGCTAGGTGATCTTGCAGCTCCTCGCGCTCGGCCGGCGGCCCTCATGCTGCCGCGTCCAGCGCCAGCTCCAGACGCACCCCGGCGACCCCTAGGCAACGGCCCTATACTCTTTCTATTAAAATCCATCATCAATCCGACGCCCAGGCCCGGCACCGTTTCATTGTATCATTGTACGGCCGTAAGCACACGGGCCTTTGCACCCTGAGTACTGCCGAGGCACGGCGCTCACACCTCCTGGCAAGGCGCTGACTGACTGCAGCGACGTAGCAGTTTTGTCACTTAACTGTTTCGTCAGCGGGCGATGGGGTCGTCACTTCCCTACGCCTTTTTATTATTATTATTATTATTATTCCAATTCCTCACAATATCATTTATTTAATAAGATTAAAATTTATCAAAGCATATAAACCGAGCATACATTAGTATAAAAACTAATAAGATTGCTTGGTAAAACAAACTTATTACCTACATGAATAGAATAGTCATACCTATAACCGTAATATTCATATATTAGTTTAAATATTATAATACCACTTGACTAATATATTCATATTAACTAATACTGACAAATATCGGTATTAACCCATCTTTAGAAGTCCAGAATTTCTTTGTAGTACAGACAGTACCTGTCAATGTCATACTTTATGGGCATGCCGACCTAATTAGTGCAATTCAGGACTTCATAGGGCTGATTTTTACTGACAGCTGTCGCAGAGATCAATCTATCTTTTATCCTATACCTTTAAAGGAGCAATTCTTGTGTATATATATATATATATAATCGGAATCTCGGAAACGGCGCCAACGATTTTCATAAAATTTTGTGTGCAGGGAGTTTCGGAGGCAATAAATCGATCTAGCAAGGATTTATTTTTAGAAAATGTCTTTTTGTCCGTGTTTTTAGGCAATGAAAAACTGCTACAATATCGTTAGTATAAGAAGGTAAATTTTGACAGCTTATTAATGATTACAAATAGCTTAATTGGTATATTGGGCGGTCACAAAATCGTAATACCATGGTTCGAGCCCAAACCGACTGACCGACTTTTTTTAATTTTTTTTTAAGTTCCTTTCTTTTTTGAGAAAATCTATTTTTTCGAGCCCTTTTTTTAGTATTTTTTAAAAACACGAAAATTTAAATTAAACTAATTGCACTCATGATTTTTTATTCAAATAACCAGTTCAGTTTTTTCTATTATGTCGCTAAGATCAAAAAATATTATTCGTATTTCATCAGTATGTAATTTGTATCTAAATATAATTTCAAAAACACACGAATTAAAAAAAAACCTATGCTAAGGTACCTTGGGGTGCTAAGTAAAGTTATCAAAGTTCCTTTAAGAGCATTAAATATTAAAAGGATAGCTACATATTAAAATAGAACATAGAAGTGTAACTTAGTACAATTTTGTTCAATACATCTGTATTAGTATTATTTGAGTAGAACTTTTTCTGACTTTTTAAGAAAACTATAACCTATTTATTATAAATATATTTTGTTAAGTTTATTATTATTATAGATTTTTGACTGTAAATGTAAATTTTTAGAAGGATACCAGTTATTTTTGTGAATATAGTATATTATTTATAACAAGTTACAAGAATTAAATGTTTAAATTTAAGTATTACAGCTGCAGCAAAAATAAAAAAGTGAAAAGCAAAATAAATATACATAGAGAACTTCTTGTCTGTTGTTATTAGTGTTCTCATTTTCAACATTGAATATGAGAACACTAAATATGAACAGATAAGAAATTATTGAAACTAGAGAAAGTAATAGAATTAGTTAAATGGGATATTCTTGGCCGATGCAAATTAAGGAGAACTGGAAAGGAATATAAAAACTGTATAATAATATATATTCTACTTTGACGAGGAAAAGGTTTCATAGTCAAAACATATCTCAAAAACAAAATTCAGCATTTTATTGGCTAATCTGGCAGAATAGCACTCTTAAATACCATACTACCTGAACACAAAGACTCATAGTTCATTATTCAAGTATGCACCTACAGAGCAAGAATGCCAAGCAAAGAAAGATTTAATTTATACATCCCTAAATAATGTAGTCAAGGAAGTCAATCTCGAGACTGAAAAATTGCTTCAAACTAACAAAGCATGTTTGGGTATTATACTAATAGAAACAAATACTGCAATCCGCATAAAAAATTCTAAATTTAAAAGTAATGAAGTTTCTATGAAAAATTAGCTGAAAATGGATATGGATCTCACCCAATGGCAAATATAAAAACGAAATAAACTTTCCAATAAACTTAAAGCAGTTGTGGATGTAGCAGTTGTAAATTAACTAAACTTTAATACATACCATCAACTACTTAAGAATATAATCCTTTCAGAAATGCCCAAAAAAAAATTAAGAACATATCACACGAGTAAACGGTATCATATAGCTATTGTAGGAGGATATGGTGCTTAAACTTAAAAGATAATATAAAGGAATTAATGTCACTAAGAAAAGTACACACTTTTTAAACATCACTTGAAAATTAAGTAACACAATGAATGAATATTTAAACAAAAAAATTACATCAAATCATACATTAGCAATGTTGAATATTGAAATAAATGATAAAGGCCATCAGGGGGAAATTAGATATAATGTTATACCTGTTTTTGCTTGTTGCATGCTTTTTGTCTTTAGCTTGTAAATTTTTCTTGTAAAAGGAAGACAATTTCTTCATGAATTCACTACTACTTTTTTTTGATGAGAGCTGATGTTTTAGTTGCGACAGCCTCGGTGCTACGGCTAATTCAGACAGGTTTTCTTAGTTTGAATATATTAGATGACTTTTAGATGTCTGTTTCTGAACTGCATGTTGGAGATTTCTAAAGTTGTTTGTTTGTACAAAACTAATGCATTTACAATGTTCATATTGAGAATAAGTACTCTCAATACGAACATTGTAAATGCGTTAGTAGTTACTAGCAGATACTATTTTACTGATCATATATTTTACTGATGCTATTAACTACATAATTGGAGTTGAATATGCAGACATCTGGTCCAACCAAACCTCTGCTAATTTTGCTTCATAAAATCCAGAAATATCTTTAGTTTTCTTTTTTGAACACCAAAAATACATTGCTTGTGATTTACAGGAGGTTTTTGGTTGTCCGACAGAGTGATCCAGCGAGGCTAAAATGAATTAATTATTCCATTCAGTCCAAGTCAGTCTTAAATGTCTGCCATTACTAAATAACCTATTATTACATGAATAAGTCAACTAGCGCCATCTAGTGTCAGGAACGAGAGCGAGGGGAGCATTGAGAAAATGACATCACAAATCGCTCAACTGACAGCGCCTAGTCGAAACTCGAACGCTCGATACCTTCCGCGTGTTTACTTGAACATTCTGGATATTTCTTTGCTAATTCAAATATATAGGCGCTGCAAGATGCGATCGAGGCAGTGTTGATTTGGGCGAAACAAGCGAAGCTTCGGAGTGGAATTAAGTGAATTAATGTGTTTAAATTATTAGTGTTTTAACTTTAATTGTGTAAAGTAAATTAAAGTGTTAATTTAGGTAATTTTATCGGCAATTTTTATTGTCACGAACCTCAAGCTCATAACAATTGGTGTCAGAAGTGGGATTAAATCATGCCGATTTTACCTAAGGAGGAAACGGAGGGTGTCCGTACCCGAAGTCAACGCCAGCAGGAGACGGACCAGAGGAGGTTTGGTGGTGCAACGCCGCAGACGTCGGAGGGCCAACAGCTAGCCACGGAGACTGCGGGCCCGTCAGTAGCTCCTACATCTGCAGCACCTGACTTAGGTGCTCTGATGGCCATGCTACAGGAGCAGCTGCAGCGCGGACGAGAGGAACAGGCCCGTCTGTTGAAAGAGCAGCAGGAGGAACAGGCTCGCCAGCAGGCGGAACAGGCCCGGCTGTTGAAAGAGCAGCAGGTGGAACAGGCCCGTCTGTTGAAAGAGCAGCAGGAGGAACAGGCTCGCCAGCAGGCGGAACAGGCACGCCGATTGGAAGAGCAGCTGCGGGACGGACAGGAAGAACAGGCCCGTCGGTTGGAAGAGCAGATGCTCCTCATGAAGGACCTTCACGCTACCTTCGGGAAGGAGATAAAGGAGGTGAAGGATAGGGTTGCTCAGCATGACAACCGCCTGTCGGAAGCCGAAACCCAAATCGTGAAAGCTGAAAACCGAATCGAGAAAGCTGAAACCCGAATCGACCAAGTAAACAATCGGGTTGACAACGTAGTGGCTGACATGAAGAAATCACTAAACGACCTCAAAATTGGGGATGGAACTACAGCTCCCGTAGTAGCTGCAGCACCTTCGCTACGTGGATTCAAAGTGCCGCCGTTCGACGGGACCTCTTCCTGGTCGGCCTACAAAATCCAGTTCGAGGCCGTCATGGAGGCGAACGGCTGGAATAAAAGCCAAGCCATGACTGCACTCACCCTAGGCCTGCGTGACCAAGCCTTAACTGTGTTGGAAGCTCTCGGTAAGAAAGTGACCTATGAGCAGCTTCTTGAGGCCTTGGAAGCGAGATATGGCGACGCTCATCTGGAACACGTCTTTCGCGCGCAGCTTAAAGATCGCGTGCAGCGCAGCAACGAGAACCTGCAGCAGTGGGCCCTTGAGGTGGAGAAGATGGTTCGAAAAGCATACCGGTCTGTACCTGCGCTCATTGAAGGGAACCTGGTGCAGACATTCATCGACGGCATCCGCGACCTGGAAGTCAGAGCTGCTGTGAGGCTCGGGCACCACGAGACGCTTAAGGACGCCTTGGCCCATGCACTGGAAGTGGAAGCCGTGCGGCAGGATCATCGTTCCCATCGCGTCAGGGAGGTTGCAGCAGCTACAGTTCGCGACCGCAACAAAGGATACAGCCCAAGGTGCTATGGCTGTGGGGAAAAGGGCCATCTTCGATCCAGCTGCCCTAAGCGAACCCTAGAAAGGGAAATTGAACGATCTCAGGAGGGTA